TGAGATAATCCACTTGTTGTCATGCCTGTCCCCTAGACTGGAACCTCTGAGGCCAGTGGCATAAGCTCCTCAGCCCTACAAGGTGTAGTGTGTCTGGGGGAGCCCATGTTTGGATATTATGTTTAAAGGGAGTCATGTCTGTCTGCGGACTGTTGACAAGCCCAGCATGTCTCCTGCCGCTGACAGACTGGAGGGGATGGCTTTTCCTTCCCACACCTACATTTGTTTTCACACAAAACAGACTGACTATTCTAGACCCCGAGACTCTTTTGGGGGTACTTACAACGTACATGTACATCTTGACACCTTATGGCGGTATGGCTCACATGTGTGGTGACTGTGCCCCACACCTTGATGTACTAGACAGACATCATAAAAAGAAAATCTTGGCACATGCCGTGGTTGAAGAATTAACAGGGAAAATGTCACTGTTTTCTTTAAGATTGAATAACCAAGAATTGAATATTAACATTATTTTCAATATTCAACTCTTGATAATTCATTGATGACATAAGAATAAGGACTGAATAACTAACAATGCAATATGGATGTGGTTTTAGTCAGTTACTACTACAAATGTAGTTAGTTAAACTTAGCCTCAGGTCTTCCACCTGATCACTAACTTACTACATCATGTAGTAGTCAATTTGTCCAGTATATACCTACACTTACCCTGTCTGCTTCCTGACAAAATTTACTTGTAAGATTCTTGTTACATAGAAATTTAAAGCCATGAGCTTGACTTTGGAGAAGAGAGGAGGCAGTATTATTTACCTCTCCAGTGAACCTCCGTTTCCCAGCGTGCAGTGGTTGTGAGAACGGTTGGGACCATGATGGTTAACAGAACAGGTGATGAAGGAAACTCCCCGCGAGCCCAGCACAAGGCCAGCAGTTTGTTTGTACAGACCCTCTCCATCCCCCTCATGAACCTGCCCGGGAAGGGAGAAGGCATTCTTGGCATGTGCTCGCCAACCCCAGTGTTTATTGTTTATGGCTGCGTGGCTCCAGTTCTTCTGCTGGAGACACTCCAATCTATGTCTGGGGAGGGCTGTCCGCCCCACAAGGGCAGAGGTAGTGCCCCGCCTGACCTCCCTGTTCTGGGTGGGCTGGGCCCTGTTGCTGCCACTTCTCCCCAGAGAGGGGAAGTGGTGGGGAGGGATTAGGATCCCTGACTTACCTTTCATCAGTTTCTACTGGATGGGAAACTCAAGGGGAGGAACTACAGGGGAAATAGGGAAGGCAAGAGGTTAGTAGTTTTACCGGTAGTCAGGGGATGGGTTGTGATTGGTAGACATTAGCTAGGACCTGAAACATTATATCCCGGTATCAACCACAGATAAAAATACAGGACTAGGCCTACAGACTCTATACTGAGGGTTTTCGTTGAAATGTTCCTCAGGCTGAGTGTGGAGAGTATATCGTGTAGGGTTAACTTAAATCCTTTTGATATCTAGGATCTGAAACGTTAGATCACAGCATTGGCCACCGATAGAAAATACGGGACTTGCCAATTAGGAGTATGCTACAGATGCCTGGTCTAAGGGTGTGTGGTGAGAGCAGGATTTTCTTCAAATCCCTCTGTTCAGGAGTCTATCACCAGGTTCTGTGAGATACATGACAGACTGTTCAGGCAGATAATACAATCATGCAGTGAATAATGAAATGATGATGATTACCGGTCTACATGTAACTATATAACCAGTGGCTTCACTCAGTATTAGACTCATAGATATTGTTATTCAAGAAAAATGTATTGAAATAGAAAAGAAAGTGGTATAAAAGCATGCTTTTGGGCAAGACCAGAGTATGTGTAATGTTTTTGGTAACAGGGCTTACTAGGGACATGGCGTCTGGTTACGTACCTGTTTACAACACAGTCTGAGGTACAATAGACTCAAGTGAGCCTTGCCGTCCCGTGTCCCAACTGTTTGGACGTCCGTGGGAACTGCACTGGTGTCTGATGAGGCATGTTGTTGTTGTTGAACGGTGATTGTTCAGTCACCTTCTACAAGCCATACTGATAATGATTAAGTAAAAAAAAATCAAATGAGAATTGCAACTGCACCTGAAGTCAGCATGGCTGTCAGTTACCTTTACCTTCAGTTTTTTGATTGCCAAAAGGTCACTTAGTTTCAAAAAGGCAGAAGAGTCGAAAATCTACCCTGTCACATTTAACTGGATTCGGTGACTTGCAAACACCACCAAAATTGTGCAGTGATCGAGAGAACACCATCTGTATTGCTGCCCAAAATATGTCGACCTTGCAGACTCACTGGACGAGCTATTTTCTTGCTGTGTGGCGACGGCTTTGCACAGGTACAAGATATTTTCTTACTTGAATTCCAAGGCCTTATATAATGTGAATGAACCTGCTCTGCCATCTTTTAATATCGGTTGTGTTTCCCAATGCAGGTGTGGACATGACAGTGTTCTCGGCAAGGTTTCCTCAGCACACATGGGAAGATGCACTCAAGTACTTCACCCCATCCTGATCTGAGCTGTAGTGAGGTGGTGCACACATAGACAGCAAGCAGCTCATCCCACCTTCTGACAGCACTAGTTACAGTGTCCACTGTCAACTTGAAAAGTGAAAAAGAGAGAATCATGTGGAATTTGATAATTTTTGATATGTTTAGTTTTTCAGTTTTAAGTTTATATTTAGTTACTTTATGTACATTTTGTACATACTGGTATGTATCTTTTCAAAGGTTTTGTTTCATTCCAAGATGTATAAAGTATTTATTGACCAGTGGATTGGTGTTCATGCTTCATTTGCATGTACCTGGTGCACTAAATGTTTGTTCTGTTCTTGAGATTGTTACTGTTATTGTTTTACAGATATCGTATTAACGGTATACCTGTTAGTTACGTTCCAAATTGCAGGACCATGTTGTCCTGTCATATACTGTAAGAGACTGCATATAAAGTTACGTGTGTATGAAAAAGAGGTCTATTATTTTTCTCACTTCCTAATTATTTTTGTTACGGTTTTTACCTAAGGGTATCTATCTACCTATGTTGTAAAGTTTCAGTTTACACCATTTTTTCCTCTTCTTCTTTAAATTTCAGCCATATTTTGCAATGATTTGACTAATGACCCTTTTCCACTGTCATAATCATATATATGGTTCTCTTGATAATTAATGCCTTTTCAATCAGCCTTTGCAAAGTCACAACAAAATAAGAATACATGTATATTTATCCTAAGCAATAAAGTGCATGTTTAGGTTTATTATGCTTTCTTGTGAAGTTGACGCTACAGTATCTACGATGTACATTCCCTTTTGTGTGCAACACATCAAACCGATGTGCATACAAACCTATCCAAACGTTTGAACACAGTGATTTCCACCAAGTTTTTAAATGCTGAATGTATATGTACATGTGTATTGAGAAATTATTTGGAAGCAAGTACAGTGTACTGTATGTCTCTGCAAATAAACAAAACGATCATATCAAAAGATTCTGTCTGGAAAAAAAGTGTGTCATTTTTCATAGTCTTAGCCTCAGGCCTCACATAGTTCCCCATATATATAAATGGAACATTAGGCAACATTTTGTTCCAGTAACTGTATCAAGTTTTGGCTCTAAAGTCTTACAATAGCAGCCTTTCAGCTGAACAGCAACAGCTTCCATGTATACCTGATTTATTAGAAGACTTGATTGTTTAGTCAACATCCCCAGTTGTTTTTACAACATTTGCTCCAATGTATCACTCACAACATGTGGGACTTAGTAAAACATCTGGTAAAATGTTTCAAATCAGGTTAGATGAGGTTTATTTGATTAGAAGGTACTGAGGTGTGAAAGTGAGGCTTGTTAAAATCAAGTTAAGGGGGAGAGTTACATGTAGTTGCAAACACCAAAATTATTTGTGTGTGTGTGTGTCTGTTGTACAGCTGCTCGTATATACATGTGTAACATTAACTTGTGAAGGACTGATTAATTTATATTTTCACCTATATAAACAATTGATCAACAGTGTAATCAGTTGTGTACAGAACATTTTTAACACTCCAGTTTAATTCAGAAGTTAAGTATCCATGGAGACTAAGTTTACATGATTAATTGATGAAGTAAAGAGATCATAATCCTTGTCTTGCATCACAGCTCAGTGGTAGCTCTGTGACCATATGGGGATTTGAATGTTTTATGTATATATCCTCCTGTGTTTTTATGTGGTGTAATCGCAACACTTGATAGGGTGTATTTTGATCCTTGTCACAGAGGTAACTGATGCACTTCTGCATACTTGGCTCCTGTTGTGCCATATTCCCACCTGCCCCCCCTGTAACACTATACCCACCTTGGTCCTAACCTGCACTACACCAGTAGTCTGGTGGCTCTAATCCACAAAGCTGATCCAGTATATATAGCAGCATGTCTCCTTCTCACATATTTGGACTGCATATTTCATGACGCACGGTTGAGACTACGTAAGGTCCCCAGAATTCATGAATTAGTGATCGTGCACGCGAGAGAGTGAAAATGTTTGTTTGGAATTATCGTTCAGTATCTGGAGTAGCTCCAGGCGGCAGCCACCTGGTTTTCCCATTCCCACTTGCCTGGATGATGGAAGATGTGATCCAAACAAAGTTAACATTACTCCGACATGTATGCTCCATGTTGGTAGAAGAAAAAATGAAAAGAGTGACAGTAATCCTGAACCATGTTCCACAGGTCGAGACAGGAAAGCTATATACATTGTCGACACAAAACGGTTTATACCTACAGCGACTAATGTTTAAGCTGCCTACAGAAATCATTTGATTTTACACATTGATCCATTATTTACCAGTCCTGTTATCTCTGTATTTGGAACACCCATTTGCTGTTTTGCTATTTGTTTTGTTATTTGCTTATTGATTTGTATTCTTTTTGTCAGCGGGGAGACTAACATTAGCAGTTAGCAAGAGTAGTCCATATAGTTTATATAGGTTCCTTGTTACGTGTACAAGGGAAAAACCCGAGCTGATGTCAAGAAGTTCCTGTCATAGTAAAGAATTGCAACCCTTTCCAGTAGCATCTGCATGTCCAGTGAGAGATGATGCAGGGATTCAAACTCACAACCAACAAATTACGTTGATTTGGCCTTACCAACTTGATTGGCATGGGACAGAAGACATTGTTAGCCAATGGTGCTTCAAAAGAGTGACTTTCCCAGGCACTGCAAGAAATTCATGATTCTCACATCACAGCATATTTTCCTGTTGCACCCCCCCCCCCCTTTAAAAAACACAAACCCTTCAAACAGAATGCCACAGATAATAAATTGCCAGAGTGCTGAGGGAGGTCTCCTACATTGTGGCTTCTGTTGAACCCCTATACTGACCTCTACCCTGCGAGTTACCCAGGTTACAACAGGTGCCTCCCACTGAGGGTTACATGGCCGCTGGTTATTCTTCTCAGGCTGAATTTGTTATGTGGGTCTGGTGGAGGGTCATGGATGGAGGGGGGGGCAGACTTCTGTATCTGTGCCCAAAGAGCCCAGTGAACTACTGTATTCATGGGGCTGTTAAATGTTACCACAGAAGGGCATTTGAATTGCAACATTACAGATAGCTAAAGCTACATCAGTTATTTCTACAATCAAATACAGGATACTACATGTACTATACTACTAATATTAGATCATATTACTACTACTACAGCTAACTATACAACGCTGAGTCGATTTTTGGTAGAGACAGTTCATTTGTCCACAGCCTTTTTCTACCAAGAGGCTCTGAAGATTCAGTAATTTCTGTTATACCATTGCTGTTAGGACCACTTCTATCTGAGTATAATATACAAAGCTTCTAGATGAAGTGTGAAGAGGATAGTTGCCTTCATGCCTGCATGAATACAGGAAAAGGTGTGTAAAAAAATTGATGGAAATTTCTTATGAATAAAACTGCCCATTTTAACAGGGAACCCTCTTGAAAAATGTGATTCGAGTTATATGATAAGTTGTGAAATGGAATGTACAATATTAACATGATCCAGTGCCCAATGCACTTGGGGTATAATGCACATGCTCGGACACACTAAACTGAGCAAAAACCTCCAAATGTGTGTATTTTTCAGCTTGTAAGAATCCAGAGAATCGAATCAAAGTGAAAACATTTTAGACATTAATAAGTCATTTGAGATGAAATGGAATGGTATATGGATGTGATCTGATGGTGTGATATGAGCGCAAAACCCATTCTTGGGGGAATTGTGCCTTGAAAGTGATTTTCACCATCCCAAATATGTCCGTGATGCATTCAGAGATGAGGTTTTGTAGGCAATCGCCCCTATTCTGCTCCAGGAAACAATCTGTTAGCTATGATGGGTTCATGGAAAACAAGAAGAAATATTACGACAGTTTTGAAACTTAAGAATGATAGTATGATCCATTGTGATTTCATGCTGAAAGGGATATGAAACAAGTATCTTAACTGGAAGTTACTTCCAGTGACCGTCATATATGTCTGAAGAGTATCTAACTTAGACTTTTAATTCATGTGTTGATCAGAACTGCACTTTCTGATTGAGATTGAAAGATTAACCTAGCTGACATCAACTTGATCGGTTGACGAGTCATGTTGATCTTGAAGATAAACCTTGGGTGACCTCTTTTCATGATCATCTTTTCTCACAGATACTAGTTACTGGTATCCTTGTTTCCCTTTTTAATTAAGTCTCGATGATTATGTTGGTATAGGTAATCTGGGATGTGAAGGCAACAAAACCCAGCGCAGAAACCCCGGTAACCACACGGCGACATTCAGAACATTCTTGTTATCGCAGGCGGTTACCATGGTCATTGAGCATAGGGAGTATCTCAGAACATGTGCCAAATCAACACACGGCAGCGTCTGGTAGTCTCTATTATAAACTGTGCGTTCTGAAGATAGTAAACAATGGTTAAAAGTTAGAAGACATGTTGGAAGATATCTCTCCCATGGTTAATCAAACTTCCCGGAACTTGTTCTACCTTTTTGGCCAGTTCCCGCCATTTTGCCGGGCCGTCGCAAGGTCTGGTGGAGACCAAGCATCTATATCAACATCTGGATAAGCGTGGCGCTCCAAAGTTTGCGCGGATCGGAAAACTGGAAGTTTCTGTCTTTTCCGAAGACAGGCAGAGTCTTATTAACATCCCCTCGTTAGCCTCGTTAACTGCGGAATAACTTCCACATGTCACTGCGATAGCGGCGGTACTAATCACGCGTGTGACATGCGTGATATCGCGTTACTAACGCGACCTTACATGGTGTCAAGGCTTTTGATGTGGGTGGTTGGCAAAATAGTTTGTCCATGGAGGCTCGGGAGGTCACTTTCAATGAAGATTGTCAGCTACAACATTCCACCCGCTGTTAGGGGAACCAGGGTTTACCGATATTTAAAATTCCTCCAAATTAAGACGACCACGTGTCTTGAAGAAATGTTTTCCGGTTCATTGAGGAGACTCAAGCAATGGTTTGTTTTACCCGGGGGTATTCTGATACAGAAGTACACTGAATAATCGTTATGGATTGTTCAAAGTATTGTAATAGGCACTATTATATCCACCTTTCTTTCCTCTTGCTCAAAATAATTTCATCCTATTGATAAATTC